CCAACGCAGCCAAAAATAAAATAAATTTAAAAAAAAAAACATTCAAGCAAACCTGGAAAGCTGTCTTTTATAATTGTCTGCATCTTACAAAGTTCTTTGTGGAGCAAGGAGAACACTTCTCAGTCCAGTCCAGCACGTGGACCTCCAGTTTGCCCCTTGAGGAGGTGGAAGCTATAGTCAGCCTGAGTGGTGCTGCCTCATCTGTAAGATGGGCACATTGATACCCAGCCCTTGCAGGCTGTAGTAGTGATCCATGGGGATGAAGGGTGTAAAGGGAAACCAACTAGCATTCATTGAGCGATTGCTCTGGGCTGGGCACAATCCTTCTCCTAAGCCCTGAAATTCCCTGTGCAGAGGTGCACAGGTGGGAACTGGGGAGGTGGGATCTGGGCTCCGAGCCCACACATCTGCTGCCCTGGCCACCCACTCCTGCTGCCTGCCAAAGGGAGGTACTCCGTGAACAAGCCTACGTTCCCTTTGCCCATTGCAACAGTACCTGGCACAATGTGGGCAGCAGAGATTTCACAGGACAACAGGGGAGCCTCACTCCTGTCCAGGGATGTCAGGTTTTAGTTTGGTGAACGCAGGATCAATGACATCTGAGGACAGCAAAGCCCGTTAGGAGGGGGTTGGCTCTCTGAGAACGATTTCCAGGTCCCTGGCTGCTGAAACTCCAGAGCCTCACTGATCTGCCTACAGCCAACATCTCCGTCATCCTGGGTGATAAGAGCATCTGCACCTTCACTCCACCCTGGGTTCCCCTGGGAGGGCTGCGGAGGGCTGGTGGGCTGCACCGAGCCTTCTGTCTTGACATCCAATAGCAATTTCCCTCCACTTCAGAGCACCAAGCATTTACAGAGCGTCTCAATTTTATAAGGCATCCTCCTGGGCAAAGTAAAGGGAATGAGACTGGAAAGACCCAGGCCTCAGGGTTCTCTCTGCCTTCTTAGGGAAGCCTGGGGCTGCGCTGAGCCACTCCTCCTGCAGGTAAAGGGGTACCTGGCCCGCTCTCACTCTCCCCTCCTGCCCCTCTGTGACATCCCTCCAGGGAGGGCTTACTCACGATGGCATTTTCAGCTTCTCTCCCTCTACTGGCTCCTTCCCTCCCCTGCTTGAGGCTAGAACGGGCACCAGCCAACCCCAAGCCCAAGCCCACCCAACCCAATCTGCTTTTCTTCCCCTCTAACTGTCCTCTCATCTTGCTCTTTCCCTTCTCAGCAAAATCACTGTGTCTCTCTCTACTTTCCATTCACTCTTCAGCCCCTGGGCCTCTGCCCCCACCTCTTGCTGAGCCAGTCAGTCAGAGACCAGCTCCTAACAGGGGAAGGATGATATGGGACTTGCTGGGGCGCTGGCCTCTGTGAACACACCCTCCTCCCCCCAAGCCTGCAGGACACTCCTGTCTTCTGACTGGTCCTCTCCAGCATCCTTTGCTTCCGATCGGTGTCGCCAGGGCTGCTCCTCCTTTTCCTCTGCCTCCACCCTTGTCCTGAGTGATTTCATCTAGCCCTTGGATGGTTTGGAGCTCAGGCCCTAGTCCCACCGCTTATGGCTCTTCGAGATCCCGTCTCCTTGGATGCAGATGGGACAATGACAGTCTTATCCTCGCAGGACTCGGATGGCAGGTGGGGGTTGGTGCATGTGTCTTGGCACAGGCGGAGAGCTCAGGAACTGTTCACTCTTACTGCCCACTGATGACCCCTTCGAGGGACACCACAGTGGCCTGGGGACTGATCTCCTGCAGGTCTCAGCCTGCCCGTCCTGTCGAACCAGGTAGAGCCCTGAGATTTCGGGACCACGGACGCATGTGGGTGCCAGATGCCTGCCCCGCTACCCCACCTCCGTTGCCATGGGAGCATGGGGGGGGCAGGGAGGAGGCTTGTGAGTCTGGAAATAAAGAGAAGACCCTGAAGAGTAAGAAGAGTCCGGGGGAGCTGATCTGAAGGGCAGACCCCTCCCTGCCAAGGGACCTCCCTCCTTCCCTCCTAAAAATAATGTTCTGTAGGACAGGGGGATTAGGAGAGACATAAAAGGTTCCCCGGTCTTCCAGCTGGGAATGTCACCAATTAGATTTATTTGTGTCACAAAATTATTCTTTAAAGAGCAAAGTAGGGCAGCCTCGAAGAGCGGAAAGGACACACATTTTGGAGTGAGACAGACCTGGGCTCCACAGCGAGCTTTTTGTCTGCCTGGCTCAGTGTCTTCGAGAAATGCCTGAACCTCTCTCTGCTTTGGTTTTCATCATCAGGATAATCATGCTGACCAAACAGGGATGTTGGGATTAGACACAATACAGCATTTGTAAACTACTCAATCCAGCGTCTGACACACAAGAGACGCTTAATAAAAGCAGATGTAGAGTCTGGTGCCGTCCCAGTGTGCGTGTTTTTCCCACACCAAGCCAGCCCTGGGAGAATGATGCCTAAGATCACAGATGCCACACGCATTATTGCTCTTAAATCTTAAGCTTCCTCAAGGCCCCCATCTGGGCCCCTCCCTTTCCTAGAAGTTCCAGGGGTTCACGATCTCCCCAGTATTGATGGGGCTCCATATGCCATGGAAAGTCTTCCTTTACCTGAGTGGGGACCCTAGGGCCCTGGAAAACTGCCTTCTTTTAGCAGTTTGGGAGGCCTGGAAGATGCTCCTGGTTAGGCTGGAGCAGAGAGGCAGCAGGGCAATTGCTCAGGCAGGACGCTGAAGCCACTGTTGACCCTTCTATCTCACCCCCACATCAGCAACTTCTGTGGCTCTACCTCCAAATACTTCCTGGATCTGACCACTCCCCTCCAAACTGCCACCTCCTGGTCTGAACCCCTGTCCTCTCTCCCCTGGGGCTTTGCAGCAGCCTCTTGACCAGTCTCCCTGCTTTAGCCCTTGCATCCTTCCGTTAGTCTCAAAGCCAGACTGATCCTGTGAAAAATGGAAGTCAGAGACCTTTTTCACAAAGATGGCGCCGAAAGTGAAGAAGGAAGCCCCTGTCCTCCCAAAGCTGAAGCCAAAGCAAAGACTCTGAAGGCCGAGAAGGCGGTGCTGAAGTGGATCCACAGACACACACACAAAAGATGCAGCGGCTCCAACGGCAGCCTAAATATCCTCGGATATGCGCCCCCAGGAGAAACAAGCTTGACCACTACACCGACACCACGTTCCCCAGACCACTGAGTCTGCCATGAAGAAGAGAGCAACACACTTGTGTTCACTGTGGAGGTCAAGGCCATCAACACGTATCAGACAGGCTGGGAAGACACTTTTATGACATCACATAGCCAAGGCCAACACCCTGATGGGGTCTGATGGAAAGAAGAAGGCATATGTTCAACTGGCCCTGACTATGATGCTTTGAGTGGTGCCAACAAAATTGGGATCATCTAAACTGCATCCAGCTGGCTAATTCTAAATATAAATTTTTTCACCATAAACAAACAAACAAATGGAAGTCAGGTCCCATCACTCCTTTGCTCCAGACTCTCTGGTGACTCCTGTCCCAGCAAGATTTCCCCTCCCCTGCCCCTGATAAGGACCCCCTGTCCTGCCTCTTCCCACCCCCCACCCCCCTAGCCCTTGCTCACGCTCTTACACTATTCCCCATGCACTGGCCTCCTCCTTGTTGCTCCTAGGACAGCCTGAGGGCCCACCTGTGGGCCAACACCTGGAATGCCCTTCCTGAAGGTCCTACTCAGGTCCCCTTAACAGACAGGCCTTCCAGCAACACACCAAGTAAAAAAGCAACTCCTGGGCTTCCCTGGTGGCGCAGTGGTTGAGAGTCCGCCTGCCGATGCAGGGGACACGAGTTCGTGCCCCGGTCCGGGAAGATCCCACATGCCGCGGAGCGGCTGGGCCCGTGAGCCGTGGCCGCTGAGCCTGCGCGTCCGGAGCCTGTGCTCCGCAACGGAAGAGGCCCCAACAGTGAGAGGCCCGCGTACCACAAAACAACAAAAAAAAAGCACCTCCTTTCTCTCCATCCTCTCACCCAGTATTCCTCCTCCAGTCCTTATCTCCTCCTCTCACATCAGGCCCACTAGAAGATGAGGACTTGATTTCTCTGTTCCCTGCAATGCCTGTGGCAGTGCTTTGCACATTAGACACCCCAAACAAGGATCTGTGCAAGAATAAATGGATGGGTGGGCAACTGCTCTGTGTAAGTGCCCACGCCTTCCTGATAGATGCCTTTTAAATCTTCACAAAAGCTGAGAGGTGCTGAGGAGGTTAGAAAAGTTGTCAGAGGGCAGGCAGCTGTCCTTAAGTGGTGGAGCTGCATCTGGAGCCGCCTGGGCCTGATTCCAAAGCCTGCCTCTTCCCCTCTCCCTCTATGGATTCCATAATGACATGGCTCCTGCCCTCAAATCTGATGAGAGACAGAAACTAATGCAGAAATTAAAAAACAGTGCCTGGCAAATAACAGGCGCCAATAAACACGTTTTGCTGTTGAAGGAGCGAAGCCCTAACGGCGGTGTGCAGACATTTCTGTGGGGCCCAAAGGAGATACCTAAGTGTGTTGGATGAGGGGCGAGGAAGGGTATCTAAAAGACTTCTAGAGGGGGACATTTGAGGGGGACCTTGAAAGGTAGGTCCTTGCCAGGGGTGCGGGAACAGCACGGAGGGATGAAAAGAAAGCAATCTGAGAAAATGGAAGACCTTTAAAAGCCACGATACGGAATACCCTTAGCGTGAAACCTCCCCCAGGCACCCCCATGGCTCCAGCCCGAGATCAGCAGACAGTGCTGGAGCCACACAGGCTACAGAGCTGGCAGCAGGTTGGGGGACTACGCCGCACAACGTCTGCACCCCGCCTTCCCCCGCTCTGCCCAACCCGGACTCCCGCTCCTCCCCCCTCCGACTGGGCGGGGCCCGAATGGGTGGGCGGGGCCCGAATGGCCTCGGCCGGCCCGTCCTTTGGTGACGTCACGTATGGAGGCGGGACTCCGGCCTGTGGGGCGGAGCCGCGCAAGGGGCGGAGCCTGACGCGGCTCCTGGCCCCACCCCGAGAGAAGCATAGGCCTGGAAGACCGGAAGTCCTCCAGCCCCCACCTGCCTCCAGGCTCCCTTCGGTCCCACTCCTCAGCTCCGTGCGCAAGGTCGTGTCCCGGAAGTGAAGTGGCCATGTTGGTGGGTGACCCCAGGAGAGTTACCGGGAGAGAGGCGAGTCCCGAGGAGTGGAAGTGTGCGCGGTCCGCAGGTGAGTGAGGGGTGGAGTGAGGGCCGGGGTCTGGGGCTCGCCACGCCTTCTCTCAGGGCCTCTGTCTGGGCCCCCCCCCATCCGGCCCGGGCCCGGGCTACCGGCCTGGTCGTCGGGGGTCTCGCCCCAGCCCGCCCTGGGCTTTCCCCTGGAGGCCGCTCCGGGGCCCCGCCTCAGCCTCCGGAGCCCTCCCGGGGCCCCTGAGCCGGCCTGCCCCAGCCTCGGGGCCTCTCCACCCCGGCTAGGTGCGACGACCCGCAGGGTAGGGGGAGGACCTGGGGACCTGACGGGGCCCAGCGGTGCACTCGCCGATCGACCTTGTAGTAACAGCCCTCGCGTGACAATCGCCTCCTACTTCATAAAGCATTTTTCCTGTTGATTTCTGGATTCATCTCCCACTCCGGGAGGCCCTTGGGGCCGAGGGGCGCTCTTCTACAGCTGAGGAAAAAGGGACGCGGACAGTGGCTTCCTCAAGCTCGCGCAGCAAGTTATGAAGGCCGGAGGCTGATGGCTAGCCGACTTTGGGCCCAAAGTCCAGACCTTTTTACCAGTCAAATACCTCTTCCACTCAGTCTCAGTTCTTTATTTCATAAAGAGGGATGATGCTTTTTTCCACACAGGGACGTTGTGAGGGTTCCCTCTTTCGTTCAGCTTCTTTTTTGAGCCCTTGGTGTGTGCCAGGCGGTGTGCTGGGAAAGTTTGTAAAGCACCTGGAAGTGCTGTACACATGGTAAGATCCCAGCAAATAGTAGTTATCATTACACAGGCAGTCAGAGTTGGGGTCGGGAGTGCCCCCCCTGCCCCTTTATAGCTGGGTGCCCCTGTGGGCAAGTTACTTCTCTCTGGGAGCGTCAGTTTCCTCCACTTAAAATGGGGATACTGACGGCACTGGGTTTGTTGATGGAGTGAGAAGAGTTGTCACGTGGGATCTGCTTATACCATGCGTGCTACATAGTCAACACTCCATAAGCGTTAACGCTTCTTGTTACGAACGTTGACTACTTCATAAATTCCTCAGTTTAAATGTGATAATGGATGACAAAGCACTTTACAGATGGTAACCCTCTGTGATTGTGTAAGGCTTTATTGTTACGGAAGGAAGATGGTGACAGTTTATGTGTATCTAATACTTACTGAGCACTTACAAACGAGGGTAGGTAGCGTTAATAATGTTGACACCTGTCCCTGATAGACTGCTTAGTATATGCCAGCGCTATTCTAACCACGTTTACATATATAAACTCATTTAATCCTCATATAAACCATAAGGAAAATACAATTTTAATCCTCATTTTACAGATGAGGAACTAAGGTAAGCCCAGAGAGGTTAAGAAACTTGCCCAAGGTAATGAATGAGCTCATAAGCGGTGGTGCCAGGATTCAAGTGTGACTGAGACCCCTCGTCTCCACCGGCTCTAGACCACCCCTTGCGGTGAACTTCAGTTACAGGTGCTTTACAAGTGATATCTCAGGCAATTCTCAAAATAACCCTATGTGGTAAGTACTGTTGGCGGATGTAGTATCGATGCGTAGCAGTACGTAAATGTAGATAGCATCATCTGTATTTGAAAAGTGAGGAAGCTGTTGCTCAGAGAGGTTATGTACTTTGCACTAAGCTATATGGCAGATAAGTGGCAGAGCCAAGATTCAAGCACACACAGTCCAGCTTCCAAGGCCTGGCCTTTCAGCATAACTGGTAGTTTCCCACGAGCAGGAGTCGGTAGGCTGGGATATAGTCCCAGCCCCGCCGCTAAGTCATATTGTGACCTTGGGGAGGTCTCTAAGACCTAGATTAAGAACCACTGAATTAGATAGTCTCCACAGGCCCTTCCATCATTAATTCTGATTCTAGGCTTCTCTTTCTTCCCTTCTGCGTATAGCCTGACGCCCAGCCCCTGTCAGTCCCCCATGGCCCCATGGAGCCGAGAGGCGGTGCTGAGTCTCTACCGGGCTCTGCTGCGCCAAGGCCGAGAGCTTCGCTACACTGATCGAGACTTCTACTTTGCCTCCATTCGCCGTGAGTTCCGGAAAAATCAGAAGCTAGAGGATCCTGAGGCCCGGGAGAGGCAGCTGGAAAAGGGCCTGGTATTCCTCCACAGCAAACTGGGAGGGATTATTTAGGATCCTCTCCTTTCCCCTCCCATCCTAATTCCAAGGGAAAGAGGACAAAAGTGCCTTCCATAGACACGCCTGCCTCTCTCCCACCTCCACCTCACAGATGCAGTAAGAAGCCTCAGGTAGGTAGGCCCTTGTTCCTGTAGGTTTCATTTTTTCTGTTGCAGGGGTCCAGGAGAGGGAGAACCTTTCCTTTAGTGACCAGAGTCCTTTAGTCATAAATCAATGGAGGAAATACAAACATATTAACAGCAGTATGTTCCCTTGTTAAGAAAAAAAAGGCCCTGAGTTTCAGGCCCCACCAGGAGACCATTTTGTTTCATAAAACATTTTACATATGAAAATGCTAGAAAAGACATTGGTTAAAACTATTAGAGCTCAGTTCCTGGCTGCCTCATTCTTTGGTAGATTCACTTCTATTGAGGGCAAGATCATGTTTCCCCAAACATAACTAGACTCTGTTGCAACAGTCTCTAAAGCAAGCATAGTGTACAGACCTCGGAGGACGGTGCCTTCCTGACACTGCTACTAACAACTGTGGGATTTAGGGTAAATCACTAAATCTGTCTAGGCCTCCATTCCCTCATTTGTAGAATAACAGTACCTACCTCTTCAGCTTATCGCAAGAATTAAATGAGACAACTCGGGAATTCCCAGGCGGTCCAGTGGTTAGGACTCTGCGCTTTCACTGCTGAGGGCCCAGGTTCAGTCCCTGGTCTGGGTACTAAGATCCTGAGGGCCGCACGGCACGGCCAAAAAAAAAAAAAAGAAAAAAAGAGATAATGCACACAAAGTACTTGGAATAGTTCTTGGCCAGTGGTATGTTAGTTCTGTTTAGTTCCCATGCCAGTGTGATAGTCCCACTGTAACCAAATGATTGTATTTAATTCAGCAACTTCCCAGAGGGCCTTCTCTGGCCCTGGCATTCTGGTAGGCTCTGAGGTAGAGGTGAATGATGTGGCCCATCAAGGGACGGGTCTCATGTGGAGATCGACGGGAGGTAATTCCAGGGTGAACAGCTCTGTGCTAGAGGTCGGGTAAAGGGCTTGGAGACAGGGATGATGCCAAAACTGTGCCTTGGGGGCGGGGTGGCAGTGGAGGAATCACAGGTGGCCATAGAAAAGAGGACATTTGAGGTCTGCCTCAAGTGAGAAATAGAAGCTTGCCGGGCAGACGGGCAATAAGCAAGTGTGGAGTTGAAAACAGAGACTACCACATTTTATAGTCTGGAAACCCGAGTCCGGAGTGGCTCGAGTGGTGCACCTGTAAGGCAGGTGACCAGAGTTGAGGCTGGACCAGGTCTGGAAGGACATCGAATCCCCTGTTGAGGAGGTTGTGATATCTGACAGAGGGGGACCATCAGAACTTTGTCAGCAGGGGAATGGCGTGGATGAGGGATCGTGGCGGTGGCAGCATGGAGAATACATTGGTAGGGGATACCAGAGGCCGCGGCTCCGACCAGGTGAGCTGGAGGGACTGTGGTGGCCGGGTGGCCCGTGAGCACACTGTGTGCAGCCGCGGACTTCACCAGGCGGACGCTGGCTGCAGCAGGAGGAGAGAGGAGCGAGCGATGACCGGGAGGTGTTAGGCGTGCCAGCTGGGTGGGCGGCGCTGTCTTTAACAGAGGGAAAGCAGGAGGAGGAGCCTGACGTAATGGCTTTGGGTCCTCCTCGGCCACTCTGGTTGCTGGGCAGACTGGCTTTGGGGAGTAAAGGGCCAGGTGAGAGATGATGCCCACAAGGGCCTGCCTGCCCAGGGAGAGTAGAAGTGAACACTGAAGGCTTTGTGTTCCTAGTATCTTGACTGAGTTGGGTTACAGGTGCTGCTACCACCTCCTCACTGCCCGCCCCCCCCTCCCCCCCGCCCAGAAAAAAAAAAGCCATAGAATCAGTAGCTCATTCATGCAACAGATATTTGCTATGTGTCAAATACTGCTGGCCCTGAGGACACAGCAGGGAATGAGCCAAAACGCCCCTGGGAAGCGTATGGCCGAGTCCGAGTGGTTAGCAGAGAGGAGATGTGTACGAGGAGGGGCTGCAGGCTACTTGGACCCCTGTAAGCTACTCCCCAGCCCCGTGAGCTCCAGGTTCAACTCTTGGCTGCAGAACTTTCTGACACTTTACCTCTGCCTCAGTTTCTTCATCTGTAAGTTGGAGGTAACAATGTGACTGATCTCATGGGATTGTTGGAACTAAGGGAACTAATAGGTTTAAAATGCCCAGCACACGGTACACGCTCAGTATATGTTAGCTCTTCTCAAGTGTACTCAAGCCAGATGTTTAAGTCATATGCCCTTTTCAAGGAGAATAAGTTGGAATTTTCACAGTTCTGTGCTGTCCTCCTAGGAAGATACAGGGCCTCCATTACTCATCATTCCCACTGTAATGGGGTGATGAGTATTTCTATTCCCACTTTTGTATCTAAGGAGACAGGTTAAACAACTTGTCTGAAATGTTCCTAGAGTTCACATTCCCCATCCTCAGCCCTGCCCACCAGGTCAGTGTTCTGCCTCCTCTTTTTTTTTTTTTTTTCCAATATTTTAACTGTTTGTAAGTGTACAGTTCAGTGGTGTTAAGAATATTCATATTGTAGGGACTTCCCTGGTGGCGCAGTGGTTAAGAATCCGCCTGCCAATGCAGGGAACACGGGTTCGAGCCCTGGTCCGGGAAGATCCCACATGCCACGGAGCAACTAAGCCCGTGCGCCACACCTACTGAGCCTGTGCTCTAAAGCCCACGAGCCACAACTATTGAGACCACGTGCCACAACTGCTGAAGCCTGCGCGCCTAGAGCCCATGCTCCGCAACAAGGGAAGCCACAGCAATGAGAAGCCTGCGCACCGCAAAACAGAGTAGCCCCCGCTCGCCACAACTAGAGAAAGCTCACGCGCAGCAACGAAGACCCAACTCAGCCAAAAATAAATTAAAAACAACAAAAAAAAGGATATTCATATTGTTGCACAAGAGATCTCCAGAACTTTTTCATCTTGTAAAACTGGAACTAAACGCATTGAACAACAGGGCTCCTCCAGGCCCTCCTCCTTGCCAGGCAGAGCTCCCACCTCCTGCAGGCTCCCAGGTAGTGCGGCAGAGCCTGAGTGGAGGGTAGACTGTGGTTAAGTAGTTTCAACTGGAACAGATTGAGTTCAGTTTTAGAATAGAAACTTTGATCTCCCTGTGGGAGCTGTGGGTGTTCTTTCCTCTTCCAGGTCACCAGATCTTTGACATCACCTGGACCTTGGATGGGGCGGGGAGTATATTGCACTAGAGTAGAAAAGCCTTTTCCCAAGCCTGCTCAACTTCATAGTTCTGGTCTCAAGCCCAGGATAGCATCAGCTTGGGTTTCATAGGCCATTCCTGGCTTAGTCTCAGAAGGTAAGATGTAACTCACAGGACAGTCTGGATTGCTGCCGCCTTCTGGAAGTTGACCTTTTGTCCTGTGGATGGAGATCTTAAAAGACTTAATGATGGCCCACATTTGTAGAGTCCTTTTACGGTGTATAAAGTGTTCACATACGGTATTTTAGTAGATATGTTTTCCTCACTACAACCCTATGATTTAGGCCATGCAGGCATCATTATCCCCATTACATAGCTGAGGGGTTAACTCATTTGAGGGCACCCAGCTAATTAGTCAGGGCTCAAAGGCAAGTACTCAATCTCAAGATTTCCGACTCTAAAACCCAGGCTCTTCTATTACGCCACCTCAGTGCCTTGTTCTCCCCAGTCATCAGAGGGGCCGAGGGGCCAAGGAGCCAGAGAGGCTCCTTCCGGCTTCTGCGTGGAGGAAGAATGTGCCCTTCTTGCTCTGCTGCATCACATGCAAGGATCATTTAGAGCAGCGGTCCCCAACCTTTTTGGCACCAGGGACTGGTTGGAAGACAATTTTTCCCCGGGCCCAGGCGGGGCGGGGGATGGTGATGGCTCAGGTGGTGATGGGAGCGACGGGGAGCGGCAGATGAAGCTTTCCTCGTTCGCCCACCACCCACCTCCTGCTGTGTGGCCTGGTTCCTAACAGGCTGTGGACCACTACCGGCCCGGGGGTTGGGGTCCCCTGATGTAGAGGGTGGGCCTCCCTATTGTAAATACATCTCTAAAGGTTCTTTTGTTTTAAAAGCAATAAAACGGTGGTCATGGTTTTGTATCGGGAACTGTGTAATGATCACCTTTGTCCTGATTGGATTACTCTGCCTCAGATGAGTTTATGTCCCATCTCTGTCTCAGTGGCCACTGGAGGGAGGATGACTAGAGTTCTTGCCTGACCCCACCTGTAAATACAGAGTTTAACTCTTCTCCTCAGCCTTGTTGGCTCTGTGCATTTGAAGTGGGAGTATATTTCATTTGGCCAAGCAGTTTCTCATTATGTCCCTAAACCTGAAGCTCCTGTCGAGGGTAAAAGGTGGAGAAAAGAAAAGTGCCATGGTTGTGCACTCTAGTTGGGAAAAAAATAATTTTGGGATCGACAGCGACTCTTAGTTAACTCAATTGCTGGAATAAGTAGAGGCAGAAATATTTCTCTCGTTGACAGGGGAGGCCAGGGGCATGACATGCGACACTAGCAATACCCAGTTGTAAGGGTATTAGAAAGAATGCTACTTCGCACTGGAAGATGCACCAGTGATCTTGTCCCTCTCTGTCCTCCCGTTCTAGGTATATTGGTGAATGGTAAACAACTGTTTTTCCCTACGTGGTTCCTGGCGTACAGGACACGGGAGGTAGGAGGGGTAGCAGTGTTAAAAGCAGTGCTCAGATTTGAGCCACTTTGCCATCCTTTATCTGGGTCAGGCCCAGGGTTCTAACTGCCTGGGAAATGGGCTTACTGGGAGACCAGGGGAACTTCAGTCAGGATGACCCCGTCGTTGCCCAGGAGCAAAGGCGTGCTCGCCTCGCTCCAGCACTGTACGGAGGCCAGCCTCTTCTGCCTTGTGCCCATGATCTCCGCTTAGGTGACCACATTTTTAGTTCATTTTCCAAGCACACTTGAGCAGGTGGATATTTTGTTTTCCAGTTAACAGCTGAGTCTGCAGTGACCGTTTTGTTTATTCTCAGTCTCTGTCACAGTGCCAGGCTCACCTGAGCTTCTTGTGGTGCCCCTGCACACTTGCCCCAAGAAACAAAGCATTTGTCAAGTGGGCCTGTCCACAGAGTTCTCTTCTTCTTTGGATCTTTCTCACATGTGGACTTGTAGTTTTGTCTCCGTGTGCCAGGGTATTTAGTCTGTGTTTTTGTTGTTATTATTATTTTTCGCAGAAAATACATAGAATAGGAACAGTTTGACTTGGGTAAGGGGAAACATGATACAGTAGAAAAACCATCATGCTAGGAGTTGAGAGGCGGCCTGAGTTTTGCATATGGCTTTGTCATTCCTTTTCTCTGGGACCTCTGGCAAGTCACCTCCCTACATGTGAAGTGATGTGATGGGATTAGATGGGTCTCTAATTAATTTACACCTTCTCAGGTCTAACCTTCCATAAGCAGTGGTCAGAGGATCAAAATATGATCTGCATTGTAATGTTGGGAAGGGGTCCGGAGGGTTGTATTGCGTGGGGGTGGGGTACTTCACTGTCATACGAGAAAGGGTTGACAGTGAGCTTATTATCGCTCTCTGTAATCTCAATAGATTGGTGGGGAGGCTTTCCCATGACTAGCATGATCATTTCCTCTGCCTTGCATCCAGATACGTCAAGGGACACAATACCTCCCTCCTGACCCTAGAACATGGAGTGCTAGGGTTCCTGGAACTCACAGAGTACCCTGAAATTGTTGGGGACTGGCCTGATGGTGGAGGGAGGAGGAGGGCTGCTTCCCAAGGTCCAAGGTGGTGATGGCTGTGTTCTGCCTTCCTCCTCAGGTGAGCAATGGCAGGCGCTGGTGAGCGCAAAAGCAAGAAGGATGATAATGGCATCGGGACGGCCATTGATTTTGTGCTCTCCAATGCCCGGCTGGTGCTGGGGGTGGGTGGAGCAGCCATGCTGGGCATTGCTACACTGGCGGTTAAGCGGGTAAGTACACTCAGCCAGGGGTTGGAGAGGTGGTGAGGCTGCCGAGTGGAGCTGACTTAGAATAAGACTTTGATACTGCTAATGGAAATGTAACTTGGTAATTTGGCATTATTAGACAAGACCTTAAGAGGATTCAGTAAATCTACTTCTTAGGACTCCACCCTAAAGAAACTGTTGGAGATACAAATAAAAAGTTTATCCCAGCGAGTGAAAAATTGCAAATAATCAAAAAAGCCTTCCTTGACTACCTTATTTAAAATAGCAGGACTCCCACCACACATTTTTCCTATTTCTCCTTCCTGCTTTACTTTCCTTAACACCTATATCTGCATGGTTTAGCTTGTTGATTATGTATTGCCTGCATCCCTCTGCTAAACTGTAAACTCCAAGAGGGCAGGGATTGGGTCTCTTTGGGTTACTGCTTTATTCTGTGCACCTAGAACAACTCCTGGCACAGAGTAGCCATTCAGTGATGTATTTGTTAAATGGATCAGTGTTTGACATTACAGTACATTCATAAAATACAGTGTTGTATAGTTAGAAATTGTACCATAATGTTCAACACTGATTCATTTTTAGTGATATGGGGGAGTGATAAAAATGATATGTAAAAAAAATCAGTTTTCAAAAGTATATATAGAGGAGGATCCTAATTACACAAATATATATTTTCAGAAAGAAATATACCAAAATATTAACCATTATCTCTGGGTTATGACATTATGGATAAATTTGTTTCTTATTTATATCATTTAGTATTTCCTGAGATTTTCTGTGCGGAGCAAATGATTCCATAATCTAGAATAAAACAAAGTTATTGAAAAATAGTAGCTGAACTCATTAAGGCAAAGCTGCTGGGAAGGAGGGAAACAGGAAAGAAGGTCATGTGCTGGGTCCTCTCTGCTGTTTCAGATGTATGATAGGGCAATCAGTGCCCCTACCAGCCCCACCCGCCTGAGCCATTCAGGGAAAAGGAGCTGGGAAGAACCAAACTGGATGGGCTCCCCCCGATTGCTCAACAAGGACATGAAGACAGGCCTGAGCAGGTCCCTACAGGCCCTTCCCACAGGCTCCTCGGCCTTTGACACAGGTGAGGAAGGCTGGTACCCCTTCTGGGACTGACCTCGGGGCTCTCAGTGCTACTCATGCATTCAACACAGTTCTTAGGGACATATGTGCCAGGCACCATGCTAGCCTTTTGTGCCAAGCCCGTCTCCTTTGGGGCTGAGGCAGCCATGGATGAGCAAGCACGGGAAGAGCTCACGTGCCTCTCTCTCTTGCCTTGGCAGATACATTCTGCCTGCCCCGGCCCAAGCCATTGGCCAGGAAGGGCCAGGTAGACTTGAAGAAGTCACGACTCCGCATGTCCCTGCAGGAGAAACTTCTTACTTACTACCGGAACCGGGCGGCCATCCCTGCTGGCGAGCAGGCTCGGGCCAAGCAAGCTGCCGTGGACATATGTGCCGAGCTCCGGAGCTTCCTGCGGGCCAAGTTGCCTGACATGCCACTTCGGGACATGTACCTGAGTGGCAGCCTCTATGATGACCTGCAGGTAAGCAGGGGGTTCTTACGAAGGGCAGGGTTGTACTGACCAGGATGCTTCTCAGTAGGGCTGTTGGTACAGGAGATCAGTCTCCCAGGCTTGCCAGAAAGGTTAGTCCTACTGCGTCTGAATTCCACATACTGTGGTAGCATTTGGAGATCCCTGCCTTTAACGTTTTTTGTTTTTTAGTCATACTCACAACTTCTAGGAAGCTGTCAGAGGTCTCCTCCTTCCTATATTCTTGTCCCTATCTTTCCTTTCTGGCTTTCCTTCAAGCCGTCAAGGCCTGGGGGATGTCATGTGTACTTCTGTGTCCAGAGGCAACGTGGTGTGTGGAATGAGCACGGGCGCCAGTGTCCGACTGACCTGGGTTGAAATCCACACTCTGAATTGATATGGTCACGTGGAAGAATTCTTAGTTCCCCTTTTTGTTGGGGGGGATATAAGATGGTGGGACCTGTGTTTGGGGAAACTTGGCTCTTGAGCAGATTAAATCCCTCAAAACCTTTTTAATTCTTCTCCACCAGGTGGTGACAGCCGACCACATCCAACTCATCGTGCCCCTTGTGCTGGAGCAGAACCTGTGGTCGTGTATCCCCGGAGAGGACACCATCATGAACGTCCCCGGCTTCTTCCTGGTTCGCCGGGAGAACCCAGAGTACTTTCCTCGTGGTAGTAGTTACTGGGACCGCTGTGTAGTAGGGGGCTACCTCTCTCCAAAGACAGTGGCAGACACGTTCGAAAAGGTAGTGTCTGGCTCCATCAACTGGCCGGCCATCGGGTCCCTCTTGGACTATGTGATTCGACCGGCCCCACCCCCAGAGGCTCTGACTCTGGAAGTGCAGTATGAGCGTGACAGGCATCTCGTCATTGACTTCCTGCCATCGGTGACCCTTGGTGACACTGTCTTGGTGGCCAAACCACACCGGCTAGCCCAGTATGACAACCTGTGGCGGCTGAGCCTGCGTCCTGCCGAGACGGCGCGCTTGCGGGCTCTGGACCAGGCCGACTCTGGCTGCCGCTCTCTGTGCCTCAAGATCCTCAAGGCCGTGTGCAAGTCCACTCCGGCCCTGGGTCACCTCACTGCCAGCCAGCTCACCAACGTCATCCTCCATGTGGCCCAGGAGGAGGCTGACTGGTCTCCCGATGTGCTGGCTGACCGATTCCTGCAGGCCCTGAGGGGACTGATCAGCTACTTGGAGGCCGGAGTCCTGCCCAGTGCCCTAAACCCCAAGGTGAACTTATTTGCAGAGCTCACCCCTGAGGAAATAGACGAATTGGGATACACTCTCTATTGCTCACTGTCTGAGCCGGAGGTGCTGCTGCAGACGTAGGGCAGGTGAAGGCAGGTGTCGAGCGGTCAGGCCCTGGATTCTCTGTTAGAAACACTTGGTTCCATAGTTGATGCCTCACAGGGTCCCTAGGTGCCTCCCGTCTTTGCTGGTCATCGCCCTGGGCATTTCATGCTGATTAGAAAGGTATCCCTCTCTCCTCTTTTCTCACCAACCATTTCTATTTTTGTTACCAAACACTGTGCTCCCTACTCTTCCCCTCCCCCTCGCTCCAGGCTAGTTTTTCTTGGAATGAATTGAGAAGGTGGAGCAGTGGCCTGAACTGTGGAGACCACTTGGTGTTTTGCATTTCGGCACAGGTCTGCTGTGTCTGCCCTGCCACCTGCCCCTTTTCAGTGTCGTCTCTTTTTCCACCTGTTCACACCTGTTTTGCTTTTTTTTCTGGAGCACATCTGCCTAATCAAGATGCTGCCTTTTAGTTGACTGTCACTGAAGTTATGATTGCATGTTTCAAACTGAACTCTGCAGAGAGCGCCCAGACAGTATTTAGGGTTTCTAGGGGTAAAGCTGGTGGAAAAGCTGGCCTTTGACCCAGGTTCCTGGAAAAGAAGCCCATCCCCCCCCGCCCCAACCTCTCGGCCAACTCATATCCAGAAGTGCTAAGAAGGTCTCTCATGGGAGCACTGTTGTTGCCGCACACGGGAGTGAGGGCTCAAGATAAACTGCATGCGTAGTTATTCGGAGACTGTGTTTCTTAGTGGCCATCAGTGAGTGTAGAGTGGGGGAACCTGGAGGTGGTGGAGAGGGTCTGCGTGCCTGATGTCTGTGCCTGGTCCAGCCCGGCACCACTGCGTGCGGGAGTCAGACAAAGACCGGGAGGGAAGGGGCTGTTGTTTGCCCCTTCCCCACCTTCTTGCCAATTAGGACAAGGCCTTCAAGGACACAGTCTTAGTGCTAGAGGTTCAGCTAGACAGGCGGCTGAACGTCAGTGACCATGTTTCTCCCACGTCAGGCCCTGCCTTTCTAGGATGTTGCCTTAGAGGAAGAACGGGCCCAGCAGCCAGCCCTCCGCTCCCCAGTGTCTGTCACAGGAACGTGATGGGGGTGTTTGCTGAGCTCTCCAGGCACCTCCAGAGGCCAGAGGACAGGCGTATATGCACAGACCTCTTCCCCCTGTCCTGTCTCTCACCCAGCACCTGGGAAACCGGTGCTACCTAGGAAGAGAGCGTATGGCTGAAACACATATGAGAGGGAGGTGGGTACTTGCCACGTTCCTTCTTGTTTCCTGCTGCTAGAATTGCACTATTTATTGCAATGTAAAAAGTATCCTGAGAGTGGGGAGGAAAGTTTAATATACAAGTCAGTGCATCTTCTTGTTCTGTGTTTATTTTTTCCTGTTTGTGCCAAGGGGCTGATGATAATTCTGTTTCTGATCTGCCCATCCAGTATTTTGTTCTCCTCCCATCAAATCCTATTATTATTTTTATTCTTACTACCTCTCCATCAGTGAGATTCTGGTGAAGCTCTCTGCAGCTGTCTCATTCCTTCCCAATGACCGCGACATGAAGTGACTCTTTAAATAGCATTGAAACCTTAGCTTCCCTTTGAATTTAAGGTAGAGCTTCTTGTCCCCTTTTTTGTCCTGGATTAGGAGGTTGAGAACTAGGGTTAACCTTGGCTATATTTGGAGACTCTTCCTGCCTCTTCTCTCATATACATGTGAAGCTTCCCTAAAATGGTTCAGTTGTTTCATTTGTATGAAGACATTGAGAGAGAATGAAAAATAGAAAGCCCAGAGCCCTGAGAGAGAGTCTCCATCCTGGCTGTTCATTACAATCAACTTGGAGTTTATAAAACACTCCATATGCCTGAGTGCTACCCTGGGGGATTGGTGTAGAGGGTGTCCACAGAGGGTGGAGCCTGGCACTGACTGTTCCATTGCGCCCATCTGGTGTCACTGGAAGGAAGGGAGAGGGGAGGGCTGAATGTGTTGGAAAAGCATGGGTTTGTCTTCATTCAGATAAAGGATTTGGTTTTCCCAATGTGAATATTATAAAACCTGTAATTTTCCCAAGCTGGAGTCTGACCAAATTCCATATAAAACATTGGAAGGAGAGCTCAAAAAAGAAAAGATTTTAAAGATCAAATCCCAAATTATCAAAGCCAAGTGTAATGGTGATTTGAGTTTATCTCCTCTTAAAGAGCATCTTTCTAAGGGCAGCTCTGTCTCTTACCTATGTTTCACAAAACCAAAAACCATAACTGCCATTTCACAAGCAAGAACCTCTTAGAAGTCCTCAGAACTAGAAGCGGTGGGAATCCTTGGCTCAGGTCCTGGTGGGTTTGCTGACTGAGATGGGGCAAGTCTCATCGTAATACCTGGATGACAGTCCAGTGCTTTGAGATTCTTGGTTGGAGGAGGGGACTACCCCCCGCCCCAACACACACACATTTTTTTTTTTTTTAATCTTTGGGGAAAGATGTAGGGCCTTTTCCTGCTTTTCTGCCTTTCTACTCAGTAACTCCCACGTTTGCCTGAAGTAACAGCATCTGCTCCTACTTCTCCATCTGGAAGTTTCTTGCACCATCTAGGTTAGCAAAGCACATAGCCTAATGCTTGAAGACAGACTCATCACCTTGAAAACCCAATCAATTCCAAAGTGTAATTTGCTTTTCCCTGTTGCCCCTTCCTAAAACGTGAGTTCAGGACAACAGTATTTTTCTTTATATGCTTGGTTGTGACTTTTTTTTTCAAATAAAAAAATAATTGAAGCTCATGTTTGGAAAAACTGTTGTGAGGCCTACAGTCTTTCCTCCTAGGCTCAGCCTTTGGTGGTCCTGTTCACACTCCAGATTAGCTGATTTTGCCCCCTTCTCCACTCAAGTTGAGAGCTCAAATGGTTTTGACAAGGAATCAGCTTCAGGATCAAAAGGTCCTGGAGAGGTGCCGGGGGGGCTGGGATCCCTGCATGTGTCCAGAGGCTCTGCCGTGGCACATCTTTGACACTATGACCCTGGCTGAGAACTTCTGCTCTCACAGGATTTGTGAGAACCCTGCTCTTCGTGCTGAAGCTCAAGGCCAAAGAGGACTTAGGACTAGAGCTGTGAGGCTGTAGCCCTTGTAGATACGCTTAGCTGATTCTAAGCGGCCAAAATACCAGAGATGTGAGTTCTGGGGTTACCTGCATATAGCGTGGTGTTTACCTTTTCATTCTGATCACGTTATGCTCTCTGTGCTTGGCCCCTGAGGCCAAGTCCACAACCTGCCTTCCAGTCACTTGCTTGCCCTTCAATAAGCAGCTGATGTGTTTAGCTGATAGATTTGGAATCAGTCACCAGTCTTTCTGTCCTGTCTTGGCTAGGTCCATATAGAAGCAGCTTAGCCCTGAGACCCAGAAAACTACTGTCCTTTTTCTCCTTGAGGGAGGAAATAAAGCTGGGGAACATGCTGTCCTTCCACAGCATGGGAAGAAGAAAATTAAAGTCTCCTTTCCAACAGCTTTGACTTGTGTGTGTGGTATGAAACATTTTCCTACAGGAGTGGGACTGGTTCTCCATTTGCAGCTAGGAGAACCTTTGAAGTGCCTGATCTGGGTCACCATAATAGAAAGGATGGGACAAGGTGCCACTGGAGTCATTCTCCCACCCCTCTGCAGTGTCAACCTGGGGCAGCATTGCTTTTAATTCTCAGCCATCTGCATGGTCATCTGACAGCCAAAGGAGGACATGCCCTGAGGATCCTTTTTAAGATTTGAGTAGTAGCTCAGGGATTCTTACTGCCTTTGCACTGAAAGACTAGATGCTTTATATATATCTAGATACTCGTGATTCCCCAAGGGGAGAAAAAAACCACATCAAGCATCCAGTATGCTTTGCATATACCAGTTGTTTATAGTTGTTGATTTCAGTTAATAATAGTCCTCTGAGGAAGCAGGACGATGTAATGAAGATGGGGAGGGGGCCTTGGGAGGTGTGTCAGAGACCTGAGTTCTAATAATAGTAGTAACAGCAACCATTTATCCAGCACTTATCAGATACCAGGCGCTAAGCTCAGTGCCTCTTATATTATCTTCATTCTAAGTGCAAGGATACTCACCATTAGCTTCATTTTACAGCTCAGGAAACTGAGACTCAGCGAGGATAAGTCACTCAACCAAAATGTCTCCGTTAATAAATGGAAGAGCCAAGTTTGGGGGGTTTGCCCCTAAAATCTCTTCTAACTCCTACCCCATACTGCCTTCACTGGGCAAGACCCTTCATCCCTTTAGTCCTCAGTTTACCACTGTAAAATTGCTGGGCTAGACTGAATCAAGTCAATGAATGGTCAGTAATGTAGGACAGTCCTTCCCAAATTTTTGACATCAGTCCTCAGAAATAATATTTGTAGGGCTTACTGAAAGGAATGGAAGCAGAAACTCAAGGTTTCCGCCCCTGCAGTGCCTGACGAGAGGGCTGGAGGGTGGGGGAGGGTTTTCTTGTTGCTCTTAACAGTTCCCCAGTAGAGAGAGCAAGTTATTGGCCTGACCTGGACTGCGGCCTCCGAACACACAAACTCCGGCAATTGGGCATTAGGAGGACTTGCTGGGAAGCGGTTATGCCTGGGAGTTATACAGCGTTGGGAGCTAATTGGAACTACCCTAGAGTGAGAGAGAGCAGCTGAATAAAATCTCTCTTCTTAGAGGAACTGAAACTACATAAACTGAAAGAAGTTCCCCTGTGATAGGCTGCATTCTTCAATAAAATAGCAAACTTATATTTTAGCTAAACGGATATGTAAAAATACGATAGACTATAGGATTACGCATTTCCCCGACTCGCCTTTGATGGTAGGTGCGCATAGATCGGGTGATCTCGACTGAGGTCATCAGCCTCCCCTTTCAACTACTGAAGGGCTTGCACGTCCTCAGTATTTTGCAAGTGTTTGCGTGTGAAAACGCACACGAAATGACATTTCCTTTTGCCTAGTTTCATCTTTGGGCCTGAACCTGGTCGCTAGTTCGGAGCTTCACTGAGGACGGCAGGAAAGAAATGCAAGGGGCGGGGCCTAACGCCACTATTTGGGACGCACTGGGCCCGGGCTGCCTGGGGCAATCCTGACCGGCTGCGGGTGGGCAGGGCTGAGGAAGCCACTGCAAAGCGGCGTCACAGAGAAAACCAAGCAAACCGCGGAACCAGACGGCTGGAACCGTCGGCCGCTCCGCCCCTTCCCGCGCATATCAGCGGCCTGAGCCAGTAGAAACTCGAGATATATATGACTCACCATGTCTGACCAATCATCTTGATGCGCGCTCTCCTCCAGCATATCGCGCGAGAACTAGGAGACCTCGTACTTTACAGTAAAAACCTTTCTTGGGATGAAAGACTTCTCTCTCCGTCCTTCGTACCAACGCCGGAAATGAGTGTGGCGGATCCCTCCGCGCTCCCCGGCGGCGGACGGGAGTGACCCTTTTATCTTAAAAGCCTTGTAAAGTAGTGCGTCTTCTTCTTGAGGCCGTAAATAAAAACAATTCATTCTCTCTTCACAGCTACGCCCTAGAATTAAAAGTCGGAGATTGGAAACGATAGGGGCGTCGAATAGATGGCAATGCGTAGTTGGGAGGCGCGAGTCACGTGACCGAGGCGGAAGGATATGGTCTGTGATGCGTCCTCATAGGGGCAGAGTTTATAAAGGACCCGCGCTCGGCGTCTCGCCGCCATTTTTTCTCCTTCTGTCTACGTATGTGGTTTCTCCGTGCGAGTCCGCGCCTTTTTTTCTCCGCTCCCGCAGCGGCCGCGGCCACCATGGCGTATTAGAGGCAGCAGTGCCTGCGGCAGCATTGGCTTTTGCAGCGGCGGCAGCAGCACCAGGCTCTGCAGCGGCACCCCCCAGCGGCTTAAGCCATGGCGTAAGTACTGGGCCTGCGCTGCTCTGGCCGTGCACCCCTGGGTCGGTGAGGGGTTTCTGCCTGCTTGGGAGCGGCTGGGCGGCTTCGCGGAGGCGGGAGCGGTTTTACGAGCGCCCGGAACGCGTGGCCCCTGCTTGGGTGTCCCCAAAACGCCGGCGCCCTTGGGTCGGGAGCCCCCGGCAGCCCCGGCCCCCCGAACCCGCCGGCTTCCACCTGGTGCCCCGCGAAACGTGGCAGCAGCCAAGATGGCGGCGTGGTAGGGCGGCGGCGGCCGCCGCGTGAGTCACGGGGGGCGTGGGCGGGGCTGGGCGTCCAGAGGCGGATTTGGACGTGCGGGTGGGGCGGCTTCCTCTTCTGGCCGGTGGGGGAACGGCCGGGCGTCCATTTTGTGCAGCCTGAGGGACGCGGCGGTGACGCGATGGCCCTGGGGCCACGTGGTACCGATTCTCAACACCGAATGGAGTTCTATTTTGGCCATCTTGCCTCGTGGATGAAAAGATGAAATTCTTAGGCCAGCTGATCTTTAATGGGACTTGGTTTCTGATTTGTATTCAGGCTTTTCAAGGCATTCAGCAGCAGCGTTGCTGTAACCGACGAAGACACCTTCGAGTTAAGCACATTCCTCGATTCCACCAAAACCTCGCAACATGGCCGAGAAGAGCTTCCTGAGCAGCGAGGTGTTGGTGGTGGACTTCATGTCCCCCTTCGACCAGTCGGGTTTGGGGGCTGAAGAGAGCCTGGGTCTCCTAGATGACTACCTGGAGGTGGCCAAGCACTTCAAACCTCATGGGTTCTCTGGCGACAAGGCTAAGGCGGGCTTCTCCGAATGGCTGGCTATGGATGGGTTGGTCAGTGCCTCAGGTAACGGCAAGGGTGAGTGGGCTTCTTTTATCTGCTGGTGGGATCTGGTGACAGTCTTGTACATTTGACTCATTGGTTCCAACTCTCTCTAATTTTTTGCAGAGGATGCTTTCTCTGGGACAGATTGGATGGTGGAGAAAATGGATCTGAAGGAGTTCGATTTTAATGCTCTGTTGGGTATAGATGATCTGGAAACCATGCCAGATGAGCTTTTGGCCTCGTTGGATGACACGTGTGATCTCTTTGACCCCCTACTCCAGGAGGCTACTAAGGAGCCCCCCCAGATCGTGAACCCAATAGGCCATCTTCCAGAAAGTTTGCCAACAACTGACCAGGGTGCCCCTTTCACTTTCTTGCAGCCTCTTCCCCTCTCCCCAGGGGCCCTGTTCTCCACTCCAGATCATTCTTTTACTTTAGAGCTATGCAGTGAAGTGATGTCTGAAGAAGATAGGAAGCCAGACTCTACTGCTTACGTTATGCTGGTCCCTCAGTGCGTAAAGGAAGAGGATGCTCCCTCAGATAATGATAGTGGCGTCTGTATGAGCCCTGACTCCTATCTGGGCTCTCCCCAGCATAGCCCCCCTACCTCCAGGGGTTCTCCAAATAGAAGCCTGCTATCTCCAGGTGCCCCTGGTGGCTCTGTCCGCCCCAAGCCCTATGACCCTCCTGGAGAGAAGATGATAGCAAAAGTAAAGGGTGAGAAACTAGATAAAAAACTGAAGAAAATGGAGCAGAACAAGACAGCAGCCACTAGGTACCGCCAGAAGAAGAGGGCAGAGCAGGAGGCCCTCACTGGTGAATGTAAAGAGCTAGAAAAGAAGAATGAGGCTCTGAAAGAGAAGGCAGATTCCTTGGCCAAGGAGATCCAGTATCTGAAAGATTTAATAGAAGAGGTCCGCAAGGCAAGGGGGAAGAAGAGGAGCCCCTAGCTATAGGGTAGTCAGGGGGTGTGCTTGTACATAGGAGGCTAGTGCTGAAGCTGTGTGTTTTAATAAATTATTTTGTAGTGAAAGTACTTCTGCAGACTGCTG